GAATCCCTGGCCCCAGCCCAATGGGACCATACCTGCATTCCCACTCTCGCAGGCAGCAGGGCTGGGAACAGCCTTAGGCTGACCAGGCAAAAGCTTCTGCCAGGCAGAGGCTTCTAATTTCTAGTGCCCCCTGGTTAAGGGCTAGGAGTGGGTCAGGCCAGCCTGGGGTAGGGGGTGGCTGCTTAGCAACCAGAGCATCACTTTTTGCATGAAGGCACCAGCTTTCAAAGGGGCAGTGAGGGCCAGGGTTTACAAAGGGGCTCCACAGGATGGATGGAATTGCCCGGTGGGCCAGATCCAGCCCACAGGCTGTATTTTACCCATCCCTGGTTTATGGCATGGCACAATGTGGTCAAGCAAACTCATAGTTTAATACTTGGTTAGGTGCTGGAAGGGACCTTACAGATCATTGGGTCCAGACCCCTGCACATGGGCAGGAAACACTGCTGGGATCAAATGATCCTGGCAAGATGGGTGTCTATACATTTTTTGAAGATCGCCAGGGTGGGTGACTGTACCACTTCTGGGGGCGAGGGTTGTTCCAAACCCTCGGCACTCCTTATGTCTAGCCTACAGCGATCTTCAAGCAGCTTGTGCCCATTATTTCTTGTCCTCCTTTAAAGATGTTGCCTTCCTAACTGCATTAAGGTCACAGCCCTATCATTTGATATTAAGACACCCGAGCAGGAAGAGCAATAGGGAACGTTAGCAAAACCAGTAGGGGCTGCTGAATATTGCATAGAACTTTCTTGGGTTGGTATTTTGGGCTTCCTCTCCTACTTAGCACCATCCTTTAAGTTACAAAGAAGCTTTTTCTAAAAATATCCATCAGTTCATTAAATACAACTGTCAGTGGGAGTAACAAACAAGACTAAAGTCCAGGAGAAATCTGTCAAAAATTCTGGTCAAATATAGTCATAGAACATTATGGAAAGCAAACCACAGCCAACAAAACGCCTGCCACTCCTGAATCCTGTGGCCAGATTTGCCAAGAGAGTACAGACCTCATTGCCTTATTTTTTTAGTAAAGAGGTAAGTAGAGGCCTCAAGTGAGACTGGGCGAATTATAGCATGAAGGACTGGACATCTGCATAATGAGATGCAAATCTCCACCTCAACAGCTGCCAACCTAAATAGACCAAGGAAAACAGGGAGGCGGGTGGAAGGGGCAGAGTGGAAAATGAGTCCTCCAAGCTCACTGCAGATTAGTAACCAAAACAGAGTTAGAATCCAGATGTCACCAGACTCGTTCTGGTGCCATTCCTACTCCATCACATTGGCCAAGTTATTAGTTACTGATCGACTGAAACATTCCCCTTAGGTGTGTATACAGGAACAAATCTCTAGAAAAATCGAGTTTACTAGTGTTTCTATAGAAGGCCACTTTGGAGGGCATTGACATTTCTAAGTGGATTGCTAATGGAGCCCTGAGCCTTTCATGTCCATGTTGATTCAAGCAATCCTGTAAGCAGTAAATGAACAGGATTCCTGCTCTGTGGTCCTGTTGAAGCCTGTATAAAATGCATTAATGGTCTCAGGTTACTATCAATATTGTACAGACATAACCACCTTAACATTTTTGCCCCCATACAATGAGTCTGAATGGTTTGGTTTGAAAATTACCTGCAACATTAAAGTTTTCCCCCATTTCTTTGTGGAAGTTTGAATCAGATAAGGCTAGTAAACACTCTAATCGTTAAAATTGTTTGAGCTGACTTGTAAGGGAATAAAGTTAAATTTGTTTTTCTTGCTGCTTCTCTCTGGATCTACATGAAAATCCTGAAAGGTTTTACCTTTATTTCTGTATCAGAAAGATAAATTTAAATTCTGGTCTCTTCCTGTTTTGCTGAAGGACTCTCTTAGAAACCCTAGATGCGTAGACAGAAATGCTCTTAACTGATAGTCTAGGGATGTCAAATATTGAACTTGAAAACTTTTCCTCCAAAACTTTGGTTTCAAGGCAGAGTAAGAAAGCAAGACAGACTTTTAAGTCTGGCTAAAAAAACAACACCTTTTTTTGGCACAATTTACCTATCATAACTGTTAATCCACTCCACCACAGTTTCTTTCATGGGAAACATGGCAGGCAGGACTTGAATGCTAATACCACCCACCTCAGGCTGCTATACTGGACCAAGCTCCCCAAAGGTAGGTAAGTGCCTAACTTTCCTTTAAATCAATGCGACTTAGGTGCCTAAATTCTTAGTGCCAAATAATAAAGGGCCTCGGCATCTAAAAGGAAGGTGCTGCAATGGCAGACTTTAAGACACATTGCCTCTAGAGCGGAGTAAAATTGTGGTAGGCATGTCATCTCTCTTTGCACTACGTGAAGTGCCTCAAAAGGGTGAAGCAAACCCCCCCACACACACATACACACTAACCCAAGACAAACTCCTACAGGCAGCAAGGCCTCCTTTCTGATCCCTGTAGCAAGGTGCTAACATTATCTCAGGATCCACATCCCAGAGCCCTTCAACTATTCTTTTGACATTAGACTGTCATCTAATATAACACAGACATAGCACTTGGGGCAAGGACTGGACCTCAGAGCACCCATGCCCAGTTGAGCACCCTAGACCGACTGACTCTAGAGCACCCTAGACTGATACTCTGTCTCCCTCTCCCTAAATCTTGCGCTGAAGGGCAAGGTATTCTTAGGAGCCCCTAGGTGTTGACACATGCCACCATGGCAGACAATCCTTCTTCGATTAAAAAAATGCCCAGTGTCTGGATTCCCCTGGGTCTTAGACATGAGAGAGGGGCCGAGCTGCTCGGACAATAGAAACAGAATTCCTGATGCATCCAGATTCAACCTGCAGCTGAATGGGCAGTGGGAGGGTCCCTCCATCATGATTTTGGGTTTGTATGTCCCAGAGCCCCTCTACACATGCAGGTAAAGGTGCAATGGGATCTCATACATGCCAGGCAGGAGGCAGGGCTGGGGGATTGTGGCTGCTGTGACCTCCCAGCCTTGGGGGGAGGGGTGCATGAAGGAAGGCACAGGAGTTTCATGCACTCCCAAGGCAGCTGCACCCGCTAGCTGCTGGGACCCAGCTAGGTGTCAGCAGCCAGTGTCTGCACCAGTGGGACTCTGGGTCCTAATGCTGCTGGACTGCCAGCCCCGGCTGGGCGTGGTGAACTCCTGTGGCTAGGTGCCCTTTCAGCAGATGGGGCTCCCAGCCACAGGACCTTGCTACACATGCAAATTAAGGCTCAATAGCAACCAGCTATAAAGTTAGTACACGTTGTTGAGGTCTAACTTATAGCTGGTTGCAGCTTTTGACAGTGTGATAGGTACTTTGAATGTGTCACTGGTCTCAGGGTACTTGTGCAATCAACTGGCTACTTACATGATACCTTTGAATGTGTAGAGGGGCCACAGTGTCATTTCTGCCCTGCTATAGATGGTATAAGATACTGCTAGAGGTGGTACAAGATGCTGCTATAGGTGTTACCTGCACTTGATTAGTTCTAGCCTTTACCTAGCATGAATTAAACAAGGTACCTAATGTTTGTCATGGTTACTTCTTCCTTTCTCTCACTGTTCCTCATTTTTTTTAAAACAAATACATTGTTCTCTATTTTATTCTGGGATGAATAGTAAAAACTCTGGGCAATCATAAAAGGGGGGCACGTGGCTATGCTCTGTGGACTCAGTGCTGTGCGTGTCAGGTACAACACATACTGTTCTGTGAGTTCATGTTAGCAGAAGAAAGGTTGCAGAAAAGAGCCTTGCATTTGGAATAAGAGGCAGTGAGGTCTGTAGGCAGTTTTTAGATCCTGCAGTAATTTTATACAACTGTGTTGAACCAGCTTCTTGAAAAAAAACTGTCCTCTGAATAAACAAACTCCATTGTGCCCAAGGAGCAGATATGTTAAACCTAGTCTTTCTCCTGGAGCTTTCCCTTTTCTTCTTTAGGTAATAAATAGAAATAAAACTTAAAAAAAAAAAAAAAAAAAAGCAAAAAAAAAGCAGCCTGACCTTTGAGTCTCTATAGAGCTTAAAAGAACAAGCAGAAGCCTAATTGTATTCCCTTGCTAGGCACTTTCATTTCAGACACAGTCACTGCCTCTGTTCTTGGGTTTCCTCAGTTGTCCGCCCTAAGCCTTGAATTTCTGCTGATTCTTTTTAGCTAGCCCATCACCAATACTAAAACACAGTCAATTTACTACCAAAGCAGAGCAGGTCAGTGGACTGAGCAGTCATGATAATTTATTCTCAGCCCAAAATTATTCAGAGCATGCAACCATTTAAAATCTACACAGAGACGGAACACAATGCTTCCGGGGAGAAAGGAAATGTAGTTTTCCCTCAAGTTGTCTCACATTCCCTCCATCTTCCATCAGTCTAACACAAAGCTGTTTGCAAGAACCTCTTGAAATGAAAAATCTAACATTCAATCACAGAAAGATTAGCCTTTGACTGTACTGCACTCTGTACAATACTGGTACAATCAGGATGAGAAATGTTATACAACAAGAGGTTATAAGGAGGATAGAGGACCAGATGGCGCTGTAGAGACCTAGATTAGACAGGCTTACTTTTGGAAGCTATAGTTGTTGATCAGACTGTCCATTTTAAAAGCATGAAAATGAAATACCGCACGTGCTGCTCAGCCTTCACTCCAGAGCATGCTGCTGAGCTCCATGGACACGAGCTTGGGCTGACCTGTCAAAATGGTTAAAGAAAACTGGGATTATTTCAGAGAATGATCAATAAAGCAGTTCACATAGGGAGTTTGTACACGCCACGAGATTTCCCATTTACGCCACCACAACTGCGTTTGTTTGCATGAGCGGGATTTCCTGCTGCTTTAAAAGTCTTTTCAGCATGTTAAATTAAAGCTGCTTGGACACGTTTTAGTTTGCGCTGCCGCTGTTTACGTCATCGTATCTATGGATTCGTGGTGTGTAAATGTTGCAGTGACAGTGATTCAGATCCACAAAAGCACGTGAGCACATAAAGTGGGATTTAAGCCACTGACACCCTAACTGCCCTCTTAGATGCCTGTGGGCTTTCAGATATCTATACTTTTCATCTTAAGCACTTCACAGCTCTGTGATGCCGTAGACCCAAGGCTGCCACCATCTTAACAGGGCTGAGCAGCTCTGCATCTCTCATGCCTGAGCCTATTTGGGATCCACAATTTAGACTCTAAAATCTCCTGGGGACCAGCTCCTTAAGATGTGGTGTGAGGCATGCTTCACACAAGTGTGTACAGCATTGGGTTCCCCCAAAAATCAGAGTTCACAGCTTTCACCCAAAGATGTGGGAACCCAGGATCTAGGCTCACCTCAGCCTGAGGAGATTCAAACCTACTTCTGCCACCTGCCTGGAGAGAGAGTACCTTCTAGTTTAAATCTCTTTAGACAAAGGGAAATGTTCATCTCTTGCTTCCCTGGGTAAGTCTCTAAGCCATTACATAAAAGGTTTTCTCATACAAAAATCAATTATATACAATGGTACAAGTGGCAGCTTAAAGGAGTCAGTGCTTAAATTCACTCTTCTCTTTGGCATTTCCAAATGTCTGCTTTAGACACAATCCCGTCAGCATTTTGGCACCTTCAGGCCCCAGTTCTAAGTGCCAAACTCTCTCCATATATTGGATAGGGAACTTCTGCACCTAACTCAGGGTCAGGAATTCAACTTCAGAAGTCAAGCCCCTAACAGCTGAGTGCAGTGGCATTTACCATTGCTACACCAAAGTCTATTTGTGGATCTTTGAAAAGAAGCATGAAAGCAGCTAACGGTTGGGGAACAAAGCAGATGCACATTATAAATTAATTTAAACTGAAAAGACATGAACAAATGAAGGAAAGAGAGTCATGGGGCCAAGGCACCACTTTAGCAATCTGGGTGAAATCCCAATTTATACCTGACACCTTGTATACCTTTGGACAATTTATTTATTCCCTCCGTGTCTCTGATCCCTTATCAGTAGAACAGGTTTAATTACCTACCATGTAGTGCTGAGGATACATTTTTGCAAAATGCTTGGATACCCCAGTACAGCTGCCAGATGAACGCATGGACAGACAGACATCTCTGAATTAGAACCATAGGTTCAGCAGCTTGATTACCTCTCCTTTTTCAGTTTTGATGGAATAACGATGGATAGATAGAGAAGAAACTTACTTGTAACCTGGAATATAGTGAGACTATCATCCTAAATCAAGAGGGAAATGTTCCAATACATCTTAGAGGTTTGGCTGGCTACAATAGATAGCATGTGGTACCTAGTACACTTGAATCAGTGCCTTTAATAGTCCACATACAAAAAACTAGAACTCTTGGTTCCAAAATGATACCTTTTATTAGACCAACTGGAAAATGGCAAGAAAACTGTCCTTTTCTGCAAACTTTTGGGAGCAAAGTCCCTTCGCCAGGCTCTGGGAAAAGTGTAGATGGTACAAGATGTCCACAATGCTTTGCTACCATGCCTTGTGATCAAAAACAAGGGGCATATATAACAAATTTAGCCATATCTAACAAGGCTGTCTGGGTAGATTCACATACTCAAAGCAGATGAAGATATGTCTACCACCCAAAGATGAGCGGTAGGGCAACCAATCAGGGGTGACCATACATGACAGCTGGCAAGAGCAGTGAGGCTTTGTGACAAGAATCCAAAAATGTATGTACAGGGCTCATCTTCATTTAGTGATGCTACCCCATTCAGTACTTGCTCGCAACCATTATTTCATTCTGAGAACATGGTGGGATTGACACACTAGCCTGGACTGGGGTCACAAATGAAGTGAATTAAGAGCTTTATCTTCTCCCTAGTGTAAAGTCTCTATTCACCAAGCATCCTCATTATTTTGTATACCTGTCAGATTCCTTCCAATGCTATTTATAACACTAGTAAGGAAAAATGTCCATTATTTACTAAACGTGATAACTACTGTATTAAATTAGGATAACCTGAAACCAAACACCGTGTAAGGCGATGGAGTGCAAAAGTCAGCCCTGTAACACAAAAATTCAACTCTCTGAAATGCTTTTCCCTAATGTTTACTTTGTAGCACAGCTCTTAATGCAAGAAATAACATTTCTTTTTTACGTAGAGATAACTGAACATCAAAACAACAGCTTGGATTAAGCCCAATTCTTTCTTAAACAGGAGGCATTTATTTAATAAAACAACTAAAGCTACAGTTAGAGATTCCCACAGAGCTCAGTTTCCACCTTTTTCTCCCTCGTCTACCAGAGACTACATGCTGGCTAGCATTTTATGCAGCACAGAGACATCTAGAGGCTGGATAAAAAACTGCAAATACACACGACTGGAGGCTCCAGAACGTAAGATATTAAATGTAAGAAATTACAGAGGCCTAAAACTCAGCCAGAGACACACATCACATCACAAACCCATGGGGCAGGATGGGATGCACCCAAGGATGCTGAGGGAGTTGGCTGATGTGATTGCAGAGCCACTGGCCATCATCTTTGAAAACTCATGATCAGGAGAGGTCCCAGATAATTGGAAAAGGGCAAATCTAGTGCTCATCTTTAAGAAAGGGAAGGAGGATCCAGGGAACTACGGACTAATCAACCTCACCTCAGTCCCTGGAAAAATCATGGAGAAGATCCTGAAGGAATCCATTTCTAAGCACTTGGAGGGGAAAAATGTGATTAGGAGCAGTTAGCACAGATTCACCAAGGGCAAGTCATGCCTGACCAACCTGATTGTCTTGAATGACTAGGTAACTGGCTCTATGGATGTGGGGAGACAGGGGAAGGCGTGTACCTTGATTTTAGCAAGGCTTTTGATATGGTCTCCCAGAACATTCTTGCAGACAAACTAAGGAAGTACGGGCTGGATGAACGGACTGTAAGGTGGATAGAAAAAACTGGCAGCAGCATCAGGCTCAGAGGGTAGTAATCAATGGCTCAATCTCTAGTTGGCAGCTAGTATCAACTGCAGTCCCCAGGGGTCAGTTCTGGGGTCAGTTTTATTCAATGTCTTCATCAACGACCTGGAAGATGGCACAGAGTGCAACCTCAACAAGTCCGCAGATGACACCAAGCTGGGAGGAGTAGTAGATATGCTGGAGGGTAGTGCTAGGATTCAGAGTGACCTAGACAAATTGGAGGACTGGGCCAAAAGGAATCTCATGGTTCAACAAGGACAAGTGCAAAGTCCTGCACTTAGGATGGAGCAATCCCATGAATCAGTGCAGGCTGGGGACTGACTGGCTGGGCAGCCGCTCTGCAGAAAAGAACCTGGGGTTACAGCGGACAATAAACTGAATATGAGCTAGCAGTGTGCCCTTGCTGCCAAGAAGGCTAATGGCATCCTGAGCTGCATTAGTAGGTGTATTGCCAGCAGATGAAGGGGAGTGATTATTCCCCTCTACTCAGCACTGGTGAGGCCATATCTGGAGTATTGTGTTCAGTTTTGGCCCCCCCACTTCAGAATGGATGTGGACAAACTGGAGACAGTCCAGTGGAGGGCAACAAAAATGGTGATTGGACAGGGGCATATGACTTCTGAGGAGAGGCTGAAGGAACTGGGCCTATTTAGCCTAGAGAAGAGAAGACTGAGGGGTGATTTAATAGCAGCCTTCAACTCCCTGCAGAGGGGTTGCAGAGGATGGAGCTGAACTGTTCTCAGTGGTGGCAGATGACAGAACAAGGAGCAATGGTCTCAAGTTGCAGCAAGGGAAGTTTAGATTAGATATGAGGAAGAATTTTCCCACTAGGAGGGTAGTAAAACACTGGGACAGGTTACCCACAGGTTGTGGAAGCTCCATCCTTGGAAGTTTTCAAGACCTGGCTAGACAAAGCTTTGGCTGGGATGATCTAGTTGGGGATGGTCATGCTTTGAGCAGGGGGTTGGACTACATGACCTGCTGAGGTCCCTTCCAACCCTAATTTTCTATGATTTCTGTGATTGCTGCCAAAACCTTCTTTGCACATGCTTTGTGACTAAACAGGAATCCAGCAAAGATACCCAACAAAGATATTCTCACTGATTTCTCCTCCTACCCAGAATGACTGACAAGACCCTGAATTTTTGGGTAGCCGTTTGGGTCAAAAAGCAGTAACAACAGACTTTTCCACATTCCCACAGGAAGTGACCTCTGATTTCTGTTTGAGATCGAAGCATGGAACCACCTGCTTTCTATCGAGCACGTAGAGCCCCAACCACACTGTCACAGGTGATTTGGCCAGCCAAGGTGGATGGGACCAATTTGGGTTTCACCAGTTTAGACGCTATGTTAAAATGCATGGTGAATCTGCTTGCAGATGAATCCAGGGTTCTCCCCAACCACCACTGCCACCACCTAGATTTTATCAGGCATCAGACTCTCAGAATAGCCCAGGTCTAGGCAGTGAGAGGAAGCTGCGCTGGAAAGATGGAGTGGATGTGTTCAAAGGTGTGTAACAAGAGGCATACTAGGCAGGGAGGGGGAAGAGAGCAGGAGGAAGACTATGAGCAGAAGATGAAAGAGCTGAAGGCAGCTGGCAGAAAACAAGTAAACCATGCATTGGAAGAGAGGGAGCAGAGAAAAGGGGGAAGGAGAGGGAGAGGCATGCAGGTGGCAGGGAACAGGTGATGGATGTATGAAAATGCCAAGAAGGGCAACAGGCCAAGGTTAGGCAAAAGGAAGGAAAAGGGATAGGAAAGTCCAGCCTTGATATTCATAGAAATATGCATAAGGCTGCCATGGCCAGGACATGCATGCAAATTGTATACAAACTGGGGATTTCTCCCATCCACGGCATTAAGAGTTGATTAAAACATGGATTAATATGGACAATTTACCCTGACTTTCGTTGTACTCTAGCTTATTCTGTAATCACTGCAAAATGGAATTTGGCTTTCAACCTGCAATACTTCATTCCAGGGACACAGCCTGTTTTACCTTGCACTCCAACCAATTCTGGGAGATTAAAACTGTATCTCACAAGATTGTCAGAAGCTGCCTCAGAGACTCTCTCTTTTGTCCTTTCCAGAGGCAGGGATGCCAGCCTGCAGTGTGTATGGGTAATTTTCAAAAGGCTTAAAATAAAAAAAAAAAAAAAAAAAAAAAAAAAAAAAAAAAAAAAAAACAAAGAAAAAAAAAACAACTTTAAAGCTAGAAGCCATTTTTGGAAGGGATTTGGGGAAGAGAAAGAAAAAGCTTTTTAATGCTGTAGGTAAAAAATACTGACCTGTGCTCACCTGGGCACTTCACGCTGCGTGATGCGTGTGCTGGAGTCGGCGGTTCCAAAGTTCGATCATTTGACATGTGAATCCCCAGGAGACAGCGGGGGCTGGCCTAGCAGATCATCTGCATCTCTGACCATGAGAGAGAGAAGCTGTCTTGGACAACCATACATGGAGTAACAGCATATTCGCCCGCTCCAAGGTTTCCTAGGAGGTGACAACAATATCAACTGTGTGGAACATAAGAGGAGCTCTGAATTGAGTTCAGCCGAGAGGGAAATCTACACTATGCAGAGGCCAGAGTGTGTCATGGGTGCATCTACACCTGTCATGAGTGTGTCTACACCTTTTTAGACTCAGGGCACCCCCTGGAAAATGCCGCTCTCATCTTTCGGTTTGGCCAACAGAGGGAAGAAAACAGAACAATTCTTCTGTTGCAAAGAACACAGAAGAATACCGCAACATCCTGATTGAAAACCATCAGTCTACACCATGGCAGCAGTACAACCCAAGGTAGGAACACCCTTGCTAACCCTACTAATCTATACCTGGGGCATGCTCCAAACCCAGATGTATGCCAGTAAGGACACTTGGGGGGCATGCACCTGACCTCAGTGCAGTCTCACTGGCATACCTCTGGGTTCAGATGTATAAGATGACACAGATGAGTGGAGCAGGTGTGGGCAAGAATGGCCTAGTGAGAACGTGCCGCCACTAGATGCAGACAAGCCCTGTACTATTCAGGACTCAGAGCAGGGCACAAACAGTGCAGAAGCCTTTGTGCTGCCCCTCTGTATAGGATAAATTCCATTTTTATTAGAACAAACTCCATCTGAAGAGCTGTTATCATGACCTGCACTTTTACCTAATACAAAGAAGGGTTAAAAATATTTTTTGTAGACGTAATATTTAATTAAAGAATTCATAGATTTCAAAAAGAAGAACCCCCTCCTCCCACCCATCTCCAGGGATTATTCCAATTCTGGAGTTTAAAAAGCCACAGAATGACAGTTCATGCTGTAGTAATTCATGTTCATGACATTACAATGATTGGCTTTTAATATGCTCTCCAATAAATTACCCCTATTCAATGAACAGCTCTGGGGGAAAAAAACCGAAAAGGAACATTTGAGGTTCTGGATTATTTATCAGTCAGTTGAAATGCTCAGAAGCTGCAGGAGCATTATACAGTCTGGCCAGTAATCACAGTGAAATGAACAATCTTATGTTTTCAAAAAGAGGAAGATGACATTTTCACTGAAATAACGATGGGAAAAGGTATACACCCATAGACACCTCATTTAACCAAGACAGAGCAATGTAGCAGCAAGAGAAAATGATTAGGTAGCAAGGAGTCTTAAAGTTACCTCCACCGTATTGGACTCTAGATCTCTCTTCAGCCAAATCTAATAGATAGCCAACATGGCTTCATTCTGGGCAGGTCATGCATGACCAACCTCATTTCCTTCTATGAGCAGGTAACATGCCACCTGGATAAGGAAGATGAGGTTGACATCATTTACTTGGATTTCAAAAAGTCTTTGAATCGGTCTCCCACAATGTGCTTATGTTAAAATTGGGGTACTGTGGCCTTGATTACCCAATGGTCTGGCAGCTAAGAAACTGGCTCCAAGGCAGGACCCAGACAGTAATAATAGATGGAACTGAGTCAACATGGCACTCAGTGACGCAGGGTTCAGTACTTGGACCAGTGCTTTTTAACATATTTATTAATAATTTGGATTCGGGTGTTAAAAGTAGACTGGCAAAGTTTGCAGATGACACCAAATTATAAAGGACTGTCGTCATGCTGGAGGATAGGCTGGGGATACAGGCTGACCTGGACAGGCTCATAAGGTAGGCATATCAAAACCTGATGATGTTCAAGACCAAGAAGCATAAGGTGCTTCATCTGGGAAGAAACAACCCACAACATGCTTACAGGCTCGGCAGTGTTACATCTGCTACCACCACAACCCAAAGAGACCTGGGGGTCTTGACAGACCACAGAATGAACATGAGCCATCAATGCGATGCCATAGGTGGCAAAGCAAACAAAACACTGGCATGCATCTACCAATGCATCTCAACCAAGACTAAGGATGTCATCCTCCCGCTTTACTTGGACTTGGTGAGGCCACAGCTGGAGTACTGCATCCAGTTCTGGGCATCACACTTCAGGAAGGATGTGGAAAGGATTGAGAGAGTCCAAAGGAGGGCTACATCTATGGTTAGAGGTATGGAGAGTAGACCATACGATGAGAGGCTGAAAGTATTGGGTCTGTTCTGCCTGTAGAAGAGAAGACTCTGAGGGGACTCGGTGGAAGCCTATAAGTATATGAGGGGCCCATATCAGGTACTGGGAGAACATCTTCAACAGGGATCCCCAGGGGAAGACTAGGACTAATGGTCACAAATTGCTAGAAGACTGCTTTACATTAGACATAAAGAAAAGCTTCGTTACAACTCAGGTGTCCAGGGTCTGGAACAGACTTGCCCCAAAGGTGTCCTCGCAAGGTGCACACAGCAGCAGGAGCCATCCCCCTCCCCACCGTGGCCCCCAGCCAAGCCGCTCGTGGCTCCATCCCATGTCCCGCCCTGGCTGAGCAGTACCTGCCCCTGCCCCACTCCCACCCTCACCACGGGGGCCTCAATCTGTCCCCCCCTCCCCCGCCCTTTTCCCCACAACAGACTTATCAGCCAATGCTGCTCTGCAAACCGCCAGGCTGTGCTCCTGGCTGTGTGCAGGCTGTGGCTGCCCACATGCACGGGGCATTTATTGGCCACATTATCAGCTATGTCAGGCAAAAAAAAAAAGCCGATCTCTGATACTGTCAATTTTCCTTATATTGGTGCTGATCTGATATGGGACAGATGGCACTTATATCTTCTCTGTACCGTAAGGTACAACATAGGTACCTGAGTCCAGGAGGAATTTCAAACTGTGCATCCCTATCTCTCAGCAGTGCCTAACTTAGGGCTGCCAGTAGGTGTTCAAGTCTAGGAGAGAGGTAGGACCTCAAACACACCTGACTCTTGCCTCCTATTGGTTGTTCAATAGGGAAGGGGTGGAACCAATCTGGCTGCCATGAATTCTATTCCTAGATGCCCAAATCTCTCTCTGAGTTGTGTAGGGA